GGTGATAACAATAGCAAGCGGACAAGATGCAAACTGATTGAGAGGGTCCCATCAAGCTAAAGGTTTTTCCCTCATGACTCCAGTTTATTGATTCACATGTTGCATTTCAAGAAACCTGTCAGAATGTGGTCAAAATCATTCCCATCGCGTTAAAAAGAAAAGCATAGAAAGCTAATCAAAACAAAAAAAGTGCGTCGGTGGAATATCTACCACTATATCCAATCCAGATAATTCTATATCAATAATTTTACTCTTCAGATTTCAAATGGCTAGTCAGTCCACGCTATTTTTATAAGCGTAAAAGTTTAGAACCACATAGAGAAATAATTGGAAACCTTTATGTGAAGAAAATTTAAGTTGTACTAAAACAATTGAAATTTTCGCCTTAGGTCTCATCAACTATCCCCTCATAGAAATCCTGAGCTCATAATGTAATTGCTAATTAGAGGTTATTTGGCTCTTTGTTGTAGTCGCTGGTCTCAGTTAGACGTATCACAGAGTTCTTGAATCTTGAAGAAGTAAATCCTGATAACATACAAAAGACTATGCCCACCGGGAGCAGTAAGTTATTTAAGTTGTTTTGAGGTGCCTGTATAGGTAATGGATTCCCCGTAACATCGTGCTGTGAACATGACAGCTAAGCCTTATTCAGCTTCATTCACTAACTAAACGAGAACCTAATCTTTTATATGATTACTCTCTTTTTGTGCGTTGGGGAGGGGGGGCGGCGTGTGATAAGATGTCGAGGAGGCCTTCTTTGTATGATCTAGTTTCAACAAATAGCCTCCTGCCTCTTTGCTAGGCCTCGCATTGATATGCCGTCATGCTCATGACACATCATTCCATGCAATTATTCTGAAGTTAGAAGGACGTTCCTTACCATGAGAGCTTAATGTACCTCGCAACAAAAAATGAAACAAAATTTAACTGATCGCGTTTTTCTGAAATTGGAGTTTTCTCGAGGGGCCAAACTCTGCAATCATTTTAATTCAATTGTGTTTTCTGCTGTTATCTTCTTCGCATTACCTTTGGCAAAAATTCTAATAATGCGTGTATTTGTCTCAAAGACAGTGAATTAGCCATCCATGTGAAAAACGGATTGTTTAGCTGGGATAAGGACGAGCTGCCTGTCTTAGAAAAGTAAGTTTGTATGATATGTGCCAATTTACTTGAGCATTAATTCGATGCAGTTTGTGGAATGTAAATGTAATTTGACTTTTAGTAAAGCCTTGGTTAATAAGACCCCAATAACAGAAAAGTACCTGGCCCTATACCCACTTAGGGTTATGGTCAAAATCTAATCAGGAAACTACGATTATTCCGAAATGTGACGTCAACACAACAAGGCGAAGATGTGGTATGTTGCCTATGAACAGAGAATTCAAACTGCTAAATTGAGTATTGCAATTTGCCAATTTTGAGGTTTTTCTGTCCGATTACTTTCCAAAGGGAAACTACAAACATTAAGAAAAACTTATAACCATTACATTTGGTTTATTATCAAATCACAACTAAACTCCAACTAAATGACATGCCAGTTAAACAAGAGGGCTGGAATTTGTCTGTGCTTACTCTGTAAGAATGTTGAACACCTATACATTGTCGCAGTAAAATTGAGTTTTCACCTTACCGTTTTAGAGGGATCTGAGACAAGAGTAACCGGTCTTGAAAGCCCCAATCTTTTGCCGTTTTCTTTTAGCATCAGCTTAGACATTCCCGCTGGATCTCTTGTGGCTGTTGTTGGTCCCGTTGGAAGTGGAAAATCATCATTGCTGTCTGCATTTCTGGGAGAAACAGAGAAACTTGAAGGGCTAGTGGCTGTCAAGGTACATTGTAAAACAAAGATTTTTAACTTCATTCAAACGGGTTGGGAGGGGGAACGGTGTAGAGTGTCCGCGCTGGCCGCCCGCTTATAAATTTTCGGTAGTTACCTAAAAGCTGCCATTCTTCGCGACTTTAAATTTATAAATTGAACAATAATTGATCAACACTAAAGGATATATTTTTGAATGTACTACATATTCTTTAAGTTTCTTTATCATGCTTAAATATTCTAAATATAGCTAGAGACTAGCCAAAGTAAAGTTAACTTGTAATGATCAGAATTTGTAAAGTTTAGATTTTAAGACAACTGGCATGGCATGGCATTTGTCATTTATTTTCGTGGGAAGTGTTTTGATGTCTGTTACTGAGACGCAAGAGGCATTAGGATTACCAGAGTATCACAACTGAAAGCATGACTTACAATTTGCAGGCCCGAGAAAAGTCAAGAAACCCAACCGATAATGCACGTTTTGTTGGTTTTGTGTAGTGATTGACTGAAATGAGAAAATGTTACCTTCGCAACCTGTTTTGAATAATCCTTTTGATATATACAACGAGTTTTGTATTTTAGGGTGCGGTGGCTTACGTGCCACAGCAAGCATGGATGCAGAATGCCACATTACGAGACAACATTACTTTTGGAAAGCCCTTCAACTCAAGAGTGTATCAGAAAGTGATTGATTCATGTGCTCTGAAAACGGATTTGGAAATTCTTCCAGGAGGTGACATGACCGAGATTGGGGAACGAGTAAGAATATTTAGAAGGGACTCTTCTTAAATTCATAAATTCCTTGTAATGACTACGGTAAATAGATAAATTGATTCATTTTGTCTATTGCAAGTGCCTTATAACGTGACAAAGTGACACGGAACAGTGAAATAAGTCGAGTGATTAACAAACCGGGGTCTTAGTAGAATTAAATCTGATCGATTTTATCCAGGTGTCTTCCTTAGGGCGACTTTACTAATAAGATAATGAATCCGTTGGATTTCATTTTGTCTGCTTTAGGGTATTAACCTGAGTGGCGGTCAAAAACAGCGTATCAACCTGGCTCGCGCTGTGTATTTCAATGCTGATGTTTACTTGCTGGATGATCCACTCAGTGCTGTAGACGCACATGTGGGAAAACACCTGTTCGAAAAAGTTATCGGACCTAAGGGAACTCTGCATAAAAAGGTCTGTACGTATTACATAGCTATAACGTATGAATTCAGGGTTCTTATCATACCTTTACCGGGTCATGATCACTCAAACCGAGATCTGGGCATTTATTCCAAGTTTTTGGCCAAACTAGTGAAGCTTCAAGATATAGTGTGCACTGGATCTCTCCCTTTCTTTTTTGATTAACTCGCTCGCTGTGTAATTTGCTACTGTTATTCTCGGCAAGATGTGATTTTCGTCTTGAAAGCAGTTTTGAGGTATTTTTGTGCAAGAATGCATCTAGTTCAATATAGTCTATTGCACTTACGTAAGTATGAATTTGTTTCCAAACCTTGCAAGTATACTTCGTTTTACACCATTTTAGACCCTGCACAGTAAGTAGTTTTATCAGGCATTTCATTTGTTTAATATTAGTCTGTCTCCAATTACGGTGGTAGTACCAGTAGGTACTAGAACGATAAGTCACACTAATAAAGTTTTTGATTGATTGATTGATTGATTGATTGATTGATTGATTGATTGATTGATTGATTGGTGGTTTTGTTTGTATTTCCCGTTAAGACGCGTGTCCTGGTAACTCATAACATTAGCTTTCTTCCACAAGTTGATAAAATCATCGTTCTTAAAGATGGAACAGTGTCTGAGGTAAGCGTTGGATGATTAAATTTCACTCTAGTTAAAATAAAATGTAGTTTCTAAGTATAATTATTTACCACGAAATCAGATCAAATGCATTAACTGTCGTTCGCACGTTGCCCATTAGACGCTACGGTTAATTCCACTTAGCATTTTTCATATCTCTCTCTCTTTTTTTTTTTTTTCTTTTTTTTTCAGGCCGACAAAATTATTGTTTTAGATAATTAGTAATTAATTTTGCGTGAGAAGTCTCTTCGCAAGCTTGATCAAACCTGCCGAATTATTGCTCGTTTTTGTTTTTATTGAGAAAATTGAATTCATGGCACCAGAACGCTAAGATGAGTATTTTCAAGAAGAAGACTAGATTCGGGAAGTTTGTTGCATGATTAACAATTGAGCAATTACAGTCGACACACCAGGTGTTCTTTTGACNTTTTTGGATTTTCATTTATACTTAGGGGTGCATATTAATAACCTTGACATTCAGAAGTGTCTCTAATTTTGCCTTATACACAGGTATTATATAATAACCTGTATTTCATCTCGATGTTAAGTAGCAAGATTGCTAATATCTTCGAGAAATAAGGTAAATAAGGAATGATCAAAATAAGTCTATAGAGTGTTCGACTTGTTCAAACTTGTCTTCGTAGAGGAACGTCGAGCCAGAGGACATACATTCTTAGAGGGAATTCAGGAATCAGATAATGAAGAAACCACGGCGGAAAATGGCAACGAAACGTCGGATACGACGGGAAAAGGTAACAAAGATAGTACCATTGGTGACAAGGGCTTACTGAGAGCAATCAAACAAACAAACAAACAAACAAACAATCAACTGATTTAATGATTAATTGAGTTCACTACCAAAAAAAGAAAAAAAAAAAGAAAGAATTACAGATTTCGTTCAGTAGACCTTTTCCTCATTCCACTTCAGTGCGTTCGAACAATGGCACCAAAGCGAGGTTGGGGTGGACATTTTCATACATCTTCTGTATTTTTGTCCACCCTGACCTCGACTTGGCGCCATTGTTTGTTGGAATGCGGGAAAGGTCTATACCAACCACAATAATTACATTACAGGGCCTGAAATGGAAATCACCGGAGATGATGAACATTTAAGTGTTAATTCCCAAGGTAAAAACTTTCGCTAATACTGCGCTAAATGACTAATTTAGCTCAGTACTAACAAAACGAATTAGAGATCTCGTTTAATGGAAAATGTATCAAATTTTTCTGGTTTTATATTGGTATCCTTTTTTTTTTTGTCGTAGGATATCGTCGCAGAAGTAGATCAAACACAATTTTGCCAAAAATTACAGATACTGAAATGGAAATTACTGAAGATGATAATGATTTAACTGTTAAATTCCAGGGTAAAATCTTTTGCTCATATTGCGCAAAATGACTAATTTACCTCAGTACAAAAAACAAAGTAGAGATTTTGTTTAATGGAGATTAAAATGAAATTATCAGGTTTTCTTTTATTTAGTGATAGCGTAGCTTCAGAGAGTTATAGCAGTTAGATGGGAAGAAATGCTCGGTCAGTCAGTCATTCAGTCAGTCAGTCGATGGGTCGTAAACATTTTTGTTGGTAATTTTGCTGACCACGGTATTTCGCGAGAGGTGGCGACATTTGTCTGACCATTGCCAACAAAATGGCTGCCAAAGCGATGAACTGATCCTTCGGGTTTGGAGTGGAACAAGTACTCACAAGTGAAAGACTATTTGGTAAATATCAAAGGTGGGTAATAATTCGATCCATCGATCGCTCTGACAGCGTTAAACTGAAACTGTACCAAAAACCATAAGCGAGGGTTTCACACTCGAGAAGTGTTTTCCTTCCGCGAATTATTTCAAATTTTGACACCGTCTCATTTTCTTTAAATTACATTTTTACTTCATGGCTTGAACATTTTTATTTTATTTGGTTTAGGGGATCCCCGCAGAAGTCGGTCAAGCACAATTCTACCAAAAATTATACAACCTGATATGGAAATTACCGAAGATGAGGAAGATTTAACTGTTAAATCCCATGGTAAAAACTTTCCCTCCTGGCTCATACTGCGCTAAATGACAATATAATGTAGTCCAGTACTCAAAAGCAAAACAGAAATTTCGTTTTATGTAAACTACAATAAAATTTTCAGGTTTTATTTTCGCATTATTGTTATTTGTTGTAGAGGATCGTCACAGGAGTAGATCAAACACAATTCTACCTAACATTACAGAGCCTGAAATGGAAAATAACGAAGGATATGAGGAATATTTAACTGTTAAATCCCAAGGTGAAAACTCTCACTCATACTGCGTTAAAAGCTTAATTTAGTTCTCAAATACGAAGTAGATATTTGTTTCAATACAAACAGGAATAATTTTCACGTTTTCTTCTCATTTTATTTGGTTTAGGTGATCGTCGCAGAAGTAGATCCAGCACAATTCTACCAAAAATTACTGAGTTTGAAATAGAAATTACCAAAGACGCAGAGGATGACGATTTTGAAGATTTAAATGTTAATTCTCAAGGTAAGATATCTTGCAAAGGCTGTGCCAATTTGGAGAAAGAGAAGCGAAAGCCATCAACTACCAAATATCAATCTGCAGTAAAGCTTTGCCAACCTCTTCGATTTGACTCAATTGCCTGATGACGTTCAGCAAGGTGGACAACGAAACAGCCCGGAACACACTTTTACGGCGGACTGTTTATTATAAAATTGTCATATGAGTAAATGTCTTAGTCCAGATGGCGTAATATATCAATTAGTGAATGGAATTAAAGCATACTGCTTGTCTACTCTTGATATTCTCCTTTCAGGTAACCGGCGCACAAGCCAAACCACCTCTCTCGACGAGATCCAGGAATCAGAAGAAGAAAAAGGATCATCTCTTGAAATCAGTTCTGAAACAGGTGCAGGGTAATTTTGCCTCAATATTCAATAAAGTTAGTTAGTATTCCATCGAACTTTCACGGCCAGGGTAGTAACGGTGTTAGATTAACTTTTAGTTGGACGAATACTTAACGGACTTGCTAACATCGACGAAATTAAGTATTGCGAGTTTTAGACAGAGGAAGACTTCGAAACATAGGCCTAAATTACACGTTGTATTCAGCTCTCGTATCTCGCACTTATTTCTTGATTTGACTAAGTAACAGTATGCCGTGGAAGAAACTTGTTTAGCTTTGCTATGTGCTAAGGCTTTGCCCGGATTTAAGGCGATGTCAGTGAGTTCTAAACTGCATTGGACGCGAATGAAAGGAAAATGAAATGATCTGAAGAAGTTTGAAAGCTTCCTTTGTGGTAATGTAATGTTTGAAATTTGGTAGGTTTTTTTGCACTAATTTTGCTTCCTAAAGCACGCAAGCGAGGAAATTTAACAGAACGACCTGAATTTATTCGAGGAAATACAAAACAAATAACGTCGTTGTTTTTGATGGAAGAATGTTCAAAAACTGGGATTAATTATCCCTTTTACATAAACGTTTTTTAAAAACGTTTCAATACATATCTTAACAGAAATCGATGGGACATCTGAAGCGAAACCAGAGAGTCGAAAACGCAAGCAAGCAATGTTCAGTAAGTTTACCTCTGTTCCTAATGTTAATCGAAAAGGCTCTGCACAGGAAAACCAGTTCCAAAACTCAGCTCACACTGGCCTAGTCAGGACGAGATCAACGACTCTACCAACAAGCTGGGGAGAGGACAACCAACTAACTACCGAGAGTTGGGCACCAGGTATTCATACATTTTTTTTTTATCTTACTAAGGGATCTTTATTGATTGTTTCTTCAATTTGTCCAATCAAAATTTGAGATTTTTGACTTCTGAAATCTACCCCTCTATTTGTCTGCAGCATTCTCTGGACGATATCGATCACAGACGACATTGGAGTTCGCACCTCAAATCGAGGATGTTGCGTACGAACCGGGCATTTGGATGCCACAAAAGATCAGAGCAAATAGCCATTGTGAGCGAATTAGGAAAATCAGCAACATACGAGGAACATCGCCAAGGTACTCAAGAGTGAGCTCAGGAACGGTTCTCTCCACTATAAGCTGGCAAGAAGTTGAGAAAAATGAGGTCAGCAGGAGGAAACGAGCGGAGAGTCTTATGTCGACGATTACTTCTGATGGTGGAGATGTAGATTTTCTGTGCTCTTCTCAGCCTCAGGATAATTTAGCAGAAATGATGACATCTAAAGAGACCTCACAGTCTGGATCGGTAAGAGTCGTTCGAAACACAAACTTTTTTTATTAATGGAATTCTCCTTATGTTTTCTTTTTAATCACATGGAAGCATCAAAGACCCACTGAAATGTATTTATAACCGTCTTTCTTTAAATTATACTTACCTTATAATTGGTTGCAAGAGTACAAAGATTTAGACTCTTTTACCTTAGTAGAAGAGGACAAGCGCTCGTCCCCTGGTCTACATTTCAATTTTCAAGCTCGGGTTCCCATATTTCCATGAGTTTGGTAACGATTGTTACGAAACGTCGCAAATTTACGTAATTTTGTTGGGATAAATCGAGTGATGAGTATTATTATATTTTGCTTGAATGGAAAATCAGGAAAACGTGACATCGTTGAAGTGGTACCTTAAAACTGAATGATGCGCCGGTTAATTCCCCGTCTAATATCAACTGAAATATATCATACGACATTTCCAACGTGTTTGGTTTTTGAATGGCAGTCACTTAACACAAACGTACGAGAGAATAGTAAATGGGCTGTAACATGAGGTGTAATTCCATAGGCAACCAAACGCTTTATCCAAAATTTTTGAAAATGCTTTACTCTTAACTCACATTTAAGAGTTAAGAGTCTAACTCCCATTAAAATTTAACACAAAGTATTAGCAAATGGTTATCTCTTAACCAACAGTCAAATTTGAGAGTTGTTTCCTTGAATAAACAATCGCATGCTGTATTTGGCCGATCAAACGTTAGCCCTAAAGCAAATTAAAATTCATACATTGTAACACGAGTAGTGTTAAATTAAACTACAGAACTTAAAAGTGTATAGTCCCAATTTCAACAATTCTTCGGTATACTTTTTCTCGTAGTAAAGAATTGTTTTGTTCATCGGTAACAAAAGCATAGGTAAAATCACCTGGCCAGCCATACAACTATTTTCAAATTGGACAGCTTGTGGTTCTATTTTTGAGCAGTGCAGTCGTCAACATTTCTGTTAGTGGCTAACGCTATACAATCACTAACAGGTAATTTGTATAAAAAAAGCCGATGCTTAGCCTTCGGCCAGGGATGAACTGGAGCACTGAAAAAAGAAAGAAACCTTTTGAGCAATAGTTGAGGTAATAAGGTAGTTGAGAATGAATTTGAAAACGGCTGCCAGACTCTTCAAATGTTAGATCAATCCGGGTGGATGTGCTATTCGTGAGGGCAACCATTTAAACTTTTCTTGAACTAGTACAATAAAAATTTTTAAAAAATCGCGTGTAATTTATTCTTTCCCACGGTCATATTTCCCCGGCACTTCAAGTACTTAACCACACGTTCTTCATTCAAATACAAATATTGATACGCATATTGTGTTTAGGTAGATAAGTAGATTCCTCATTTTGTTCAATTTATTCGGTTTGGTGAAATGCTTATTGGTGAATGTTTTCCTTTAAAGGTTGTTGTGTCAAGTAAATGATTAAGATTTTACGGGAGGTCCGCTTTAAGGCTTGGCTAAATCTATATATTAAGTAATAACTGAAATAAATTGATTGCACGAACTTAGCTTAAAACTATCATTTTTTGCAGGTAAAAATGTCCGTTTTTTGGCACTACATAAAATCCATGACCGTCTGCCTTTTTGCCTCATTTTTTCTGTGCCTTCTTCTCGCCGAGTGCTGGTCAGTAGCAGCTCGGATTTGGCTTGCCGACTGGAGCAGCTCTCCAACTAACTCAACAGCGCAGCAGACGAGAGACCTTGCAATATACGGCGGACTTGGATTCTGTCAAGCTGTGTTTATCCTACTGGCTTGTTTCATTCAGGCACTCGGTTCAGTGATGGCTTCTCGTAGACTTCATCGCTGTTTGCTTCTGAACATTCTTCACTCTCCCATGGTATTCTTCGAGACAACGCCTTTAGGAAGGATCGTCAACCGATTTTCCAAAGACCTGGACACTATTGACGATCTTGTTCCAAGATCTATCATCACATTTTTTAGAAGCACCCTGGAAATGTTTGCTGTAATTTTTATCATTAGCTTTGCGACTCCCCTGTTCCTGGCAGTGATCTTACCGCTTGCGGTTCTCTACATCTTTATGCAGGTAAAGTGCAGAGAGTGAATTGTAGTAGTTATCGACTGACTGCCTGGGGCCAACATGTTATGGTTCGTTTACTTTGGTTGTGCATTTGCTGAACTGTTTGAGGTTAAAAAAAAGTACTAAGCATGACCGTCTAAAAAAGCCCAGTTAATCAGCAGCTAAACCAACAACAAACATAACTTGGCTTCACTTTGTTTTCTCGGGCTTGGCTCCTGTGCATGTTCGTTTTGCGCTCTGATTGGTTCGTTGCGGTATTAAACGTCTTGTGATCAGTTATAAGTGAAAAGTGTTTATGTCCTGTTATTAGAAGACTACTCTGTAAAGAGCTTAAAAACAAAGTACTATCTATTGAAGCTGTAAAGCTGGATAAGATGGACTCTAACGATCAGCCACTATTGGAGAAAAGAAATGGAATCTGTTGGAACCTCCAGTAAATATGTTCCGTAGTTGTACCTTTTGGTATCCCTCCTTCTAGATTGACCGTATCATCATACGTCTAAACAATGTATTGGATTTATGACACTCTCATAATAAGGTTTAGATGATGTATAATGAAGTTAAATGAAAGTTTTTAATTTGTATTAACCTTTACCAGAGAGTGTACACAGCAACGACCCGACAGCTAAGGAGAATCGAGTCTATCAACAGATCCCCTATCTACAATCACTTCTTTGAAACCATGAACGGTGTGAGTACTATCAGAGCTTACTCACAGCAACAACGGTTCATTGAGGACAATTTCTTTAAAGTGGATGAGAACCAAGTAGCATATTATCCAACTATAATTTCTTTCAGGTGAGGGCGTCATCTTAAGTTCTCCCTTAAGCCTGGTTTTCACTAAGGCATAAGCACGAGCACAAGCAAAAGCATAACGGCAGTGAGGACGTCCACAACACAAGTACAAGTACAAGCACACGACAATGATGACATGCATAGCACAAGCACAAGCACAAGCACAAGCACACGGTAGTGCAGACTGTAAGCACAACACAAGCGCAATGGCAAGCACACGTTAGTGCAGACATGCACAACAAAAGCACAAGCGCAAGCACACGGTAGTGCACCCATGCACAACACAAGCACAAGCACAAGCACACGGTAGTGCAGACTGTAAGCACAACACAAGCGCAATGGCAAGCACACGGCAGTGCAGACATGCATAACACAAGCACAAGCGCAAGCACATGGTAGTGCAGACATGCACAACACAAGCACACGGTAATGCAGACTGTAAGCAAAACACAAGCATAAGCGCAAGCACACGTTAGTGCAGACATGCACAACACAAGCACAAGCACAAGCAGAACTTTTTTTTTCGTTATTCTTGTGCTTATGCCTATGCTTATTCTGAGAACAAGCGAGAACGCGTTGCTGTAAGCACGGGCATAATCCTAAGCATATGTAGAAGTCCGCCATATTGTTTCACTGTATCGAGCGGGTATGGAGCTGAAATAAGGCTATCGTTAATTCTACTTATGCGTTCGTGGTTATGCTTTTCTTTTTGAGCGTCCTCGCCACCTTTATGCTTGTAGTTGTGCTTATATCGTTGTGCTTATATCGTATTGAAAACAAGGCCTTTAAAGCAACGCACGTCTCCTCAGACACCAATACATCGAACCCCAAAATCTGCTGCATATAAACGGAAAGTTAATACGAGTTTGGTCACTATTCTAATGTCAGTGCGTTTTGTGTATCTATATACCTCATGCTTGACAATGGAGGAAAAAAAAATCTATCCGAATTTAATTTATTGTGTCTCCACTTTTAGCATATACCAATATTCCTTTGCAAAATTACTATTAATGGCACTTTTTTTTAATAAAAGCATTTTTGTCCAAAAAGTTTGTTATAAATGAATATTTCTAGAAGAAGCCTGCATGCCTCGTAAAATCCTTTCATTTTTCTGTTACTTTTCGTTTGACAGGTGGATCTCACTGAGGTTAGACTTTATCGGCAACTGCGTTATCCTTTTCGCTGCGCTGTTTGCCGTCATCAGCCGAGATAAGATAGAGAGTAGTCTTGCTGGATTGTCAATTGTGTATGCTCTACAGGTTAGAAAACTTGGAGCCGATTCTTGTCGTAAACACCGAAGTAAAAATAAAAACGATATGACAGTCGTGTTATCTATTTGAGCCAGTCACTTGCTACCATAGCAAGCAAGATTGTACGGAGTATGGGTAAACCATGACCTTCACTTTGTTCTTTCCTCTATGAACTGAGAATAATTATAAATTCGTGTGTGCCAATGTAAGGAATGAGACAAATAGTAATACTCATGAACAAGGTCTAATAGGAACTGCGACTAGAGTATGGAATAGATATTGTTATAACAGTCAGGTTTGATTTTCAGTTCCTTTCAATCGTAACCACGTTGTTTCTACGCAAATTTGGTGGTCTTCGACGCTCCACCGTGTTGTTTTTCTTTGTTTTTTTTTTCAGCCTTATCCTTTGACTTGGCAGTAGCTATAGTGAGCTTTCTTTGTCGTGTGCATAAAAGCATAAGCTTTTTGACAGCCGTTCTACTGTCTTTCGACGGAGAAAGCAATTTGTACAGACAGAGGACCGACAGTCGAAACTATGGTTTTTTTCTTTTTTTTACCAGCGAACGCTTTATTCAATTGTATCCTGATAAATCTTGGTAACGAATCCTCGATATTTTTAGACTACCAGCTATTGTAGACGAAGCTTTATCAACAGCATTCAGGTTTTTCACACTTTTCAAATAGATTACTTATCGTCCAGTTATTTGAATCGTTATTTTGGGATATTATTGGGATTTTTCTCCGGTTTTCAAAAACCCTTTGATTCAACATGTTTTATGTTTCAGATTACTCACAATCTCAACTGGATAGTGCGTAAAGGAAGTGAACTTGAGTCTAACATTGTATCTGTGGAACGCATTCGAGAATATTCCGAGATTGCTACAGAGGTATACAAAGACGTTTTGTTTGTTGGTGATATTTCTAATGGCATTCGTTTTCGTTGGTTTGGATTATAATATACGAATAATCGAGCAAAGACTGCAATTTTTAAGCCCTCTTCTCGATGACCCAGCATATCAGTTTGTCAACTATAGTTAACTATTAACCATTGACAACTAAGTGTTATAAAGTTCTTTGTGTCTTGGTTAGTGGATGAGAAAAAAGTAGCCTTGTTCCTAGACGTTTTCTCTTACCCCGGTGGGCTCGATTTACTAGCCGCTATTCAGTAAATTAAGGAGCCCCGCGGTAACGTAGACCGGACTCGAGAGAACGACGGAAATCTTTTGTATTGCTTCGGCGTCTGCACGCGTTCTTGGGAGAATTGGGCGAATGTTTGTCACAGACGTCGCTGTTCTTCATAGACTCTAGATTCGCCTGAACCGAGGCATCTTGGGGGTAGGCTGGGGGGTAACGTTATTGACATCGAAATAGTGTTAATTTTTTTTTTTTTTTTTTTTTGGCTCAGTTTTTTTTCTTTATTCTTGCACCCAGGCCGAATGGATAATCCAGGATAGTCGCCCACCAGATGGATGGCCTCAAAATGGAAATATAACATTCGAAGATTTTGATCTGAGGTATAGAGAAGGACTTCCTCTTGTGTTGAAAAATATCAACTGCGTCATTACACCTGGTGAAAAGGTAAATATTGTCCAAGACTATCATGTATTAGTATATACCACACAAGTGAATAGTACTTTTCGCGCACGCTGATTGCCTAGCTCGGAGGTGATTAGCCAGGTACTTTTCACCTCCAAGCAGCCGAAGAAAAACAAAATGGCTTCCCGTTTCGAATAAAGTTACTCTCAAACAAATAAAGTTACTCTTTTGTCCGCTAGTTATTCAGCTTGTGTGGTATATACTAAAACAATTATTCACCCCAGTGTCGGTGAAAGTGGTGGATATTTACCACACCGCTTCGCGGCGGGGAAAAATATCCACCACTATTCACCTCCACTTCGGTGAATAATTGTTAACTATTTATGGAAATATTTTTTTTCAAGCTCTTTTTATCCCTCCGTCATAACAAATGTTTCTCGTTGCCCTTGTACTATTATGCATACAATCAATGTTAGTTGTACATAATTGACTGTATCAGTAAACACTTTCTGACTGCTGCTAAAGAAAGACAAATACTTTGTGTTTGTTTGTTTGTTTGTTTTTTTTGTTTTTTCGAGAATCTAAATGTTTCCTGAGGTTGACTTTCGAAGGAAATCACATCAACTGGTTTCCCCAGGAACTAATCGTTAAGTTATTTAGTATCTGGCACAACGGAGACATTGACTGAAAGAATTCACGCACGCTCTTTTTCCCAGATCGGTATTGTAGGTCGTACAGGAGCCGGGAAATCCACCTTGACCCAGGCTTTGTTCCGCATTCTGGAGAGAGGAAGCGGGAAAATTCGTATTGATGATATCGACATCGCAACGATTGGCCTCCAAGATCTTCGTCAGAGACTGACTATTATTCCACAGGTAAGTAGGTTTAACATCTGTAAATTTATCTTGAAACATATCACAGACAGAAGTGCTATACTGCGGGCCAACACTAATATCAACAACGGCAGCAGCAGCAACAACAACAACAACAGCAAAGGACAACGGTAAAGAAAAACAGGGGCGAAGTCAGCATCAACATACACATGATGAACAAAAGGACCAACGATAACCACTTCAACGTCAAGAGCTGCTGCTACCACTACTGCCACTACTACTACGACGACAACGACGACGATGACGATGAGGACGAGGATGATGATGACGACGACAAAAGCAGTAACAACACATCATCATCATGGTCGTCATCATCAAGATAATTAACGACATCAACATAGTCATCATCATCATTATCAACAACAGCATAACAATAATATCTTAATAGCGTCAAAAATGACAACGTAACCCATCCAAACAAAGAATGCAGTATTCTCGAAGACTCAGTAGATCGAACAGAGGAATATTAGTTTCAGTAGATAACACAGGAGTGAATAATAGGATGGTACTTTCTAAGAATGTGTGTAAATGTTGTCATTGATAAAGTGTTTCAACAAGAAGTTATTTTAGTTTGTCACAGTAACAGAACCTTCCATTCCTTCGTAGTAGACATCTCTTTATCACTATCGTAGGATCCAGTGTTGTTTTCTGGCACTCTTCGTCAAAACTTGGATCCATTTGGAAGACACACAGATGAACAGTTATGGAAAATACTTGAAGCGAGCCACCTTAAAACATTTGCAGCTGAAACCGAAAGTGGATTACAGTTCAAGATTGTTGAAGGTGGAGACAATTTGAGGTGACTGATCTTTTTTTTTTTTTCTGTATGGAGACCCCATGTCATTGCTCTGCTTAGCTACAAACAATTGTGTGAAGAATCAAGCAACAATGCCAATAAGGTTTTTATTTGAACTATAGCGTTTGGATGATAAAAACTGTTTCAAAGTAGCTGGAGATTCTCACCCTCTTGGCTGTACTAATGTTGTCAAATTCTATGTTTCTTATTCAAGATTTAGAAAACCTGAGTTATCAGTTTCCAAAAAGCTGTATTATTATAAAGTAATTTAATTTTTACACTACGTTCTCCTTCATATAGCGTCGGTCAACGCCAATTAGTCTGCCTGGCACGAGCTCTTCTCCGCAAAGGAAAAATCTTAATTCTTGATGAAGCCACGTCCGCAGTTGACTTGGAAACTGATGAACTCATTCAACAGACAATTCGTCGTGAGTTCGCTGACCGCACAGTTTTGACAATTGCGCACAGGCTCAACACTATTATGGACTACACAAGGTAAATCAGTCTTGCTCATTTTACTAAATATGGTTGTTAATTAATGCTTTGAAGACTTGATAATTTTAAAAGTTGAATCACATTGCCGACACAGCTAGAGTACTTCAGACCTTCTGTTTCGTAAATCACCGTTAAAGAAAGGTTGAAACACTTTGAGGCTCCCTCAAATCTTGTTCTGTTTTGCTGAGTGGGAATAGCAAAATAGTTTCCATCCCTAGTAAATAGTTGGTTTAATATATGATTTTTGAAGCTTACTTCATTGCGAATGGCTCTGAGCAGGCCCACAGTTTATCTTAACTTTTAATTTGAGAGAATTTTCAATATTACCTGTAGTTTGTACACTAATATTCATATGATTATCTATGCTAACTTCAAAAGACTGAATTCTTGCATTTCTATCGCTTTATTATGTCCAGGCCAACTGCGACTTTTGAATTCATCGTTACTGTCAGATAGCCTCTCACTATTATAAACACAAACATTTCCTTATAGAACAGAAGCCGGGTGAAAGCTAAGGGAAAGAGGAAACACGAAACTTTAATTGTTTAACCTTTCTAGAAATCATTTCTGATTAATGAAATAACGTGGAAAGATCTTGCTTGCAATCCTTTCCTCAATTAAGGAAATTCTCCACTATCTAACCAGACGATGCTCTTTCACTCTAATTTTGATCAATATATTGGTTCACCTTCTTAGGATCATGGTTCTAGACAAAGGATTTGTGGTCGAGTTTGACACACCCCTTAACCTGTTGGTACAGAAAGGAATCTTCTACAGCATGGCACGAGAGGCAGGGATTGTGTAAATAACGAGTGCCGTCAACTTGACTCATTGGAAATGTCTCTTGGAAATGATTTTTCTTTTGTTCTTGGGGGACACTAAATTCGGTACTCGAAAACTCGAAGTCAGGTGACTTGAAGTGATAATTGACTTAATAATAAATATTCTGTCTTAGTCGTGCTTCACCGTGAGTCGTGTTCCTCTTGAGCGCATTAAATTGCTGCGATTGCTCAAGATTTCAATTATTAAGGCGCAGTCCACACAACACCGGAGGAATTTGAAAACGGAGGTTTCACTCTGAAAAAACACATCAAATGTTGTTCGTCCAAACTACTCCGGAGGAATTTAAAAACGTAACAGCTATCGCTCATTATGGATTTGCGTTCGAAGAAAACTCGGTCAGGAAAATCATGTCTTTTGATTATCGTGGCGCCATCTTTTTCGAAACACTCCGTTTTCGAAATGTTTTCGGTCCACACGAAAACGAAGGGCCGACGTTTCCAAATTTCTCCGGTTTGAAGAGCATTTTCGTAAAGCTCCGTTTTCGAGACGGTGTAGTGTGGACGGTAGGCCTAACTGTGGAAATAAAACTGCGTTTTCAAATTTATCCTGCATAGTGTGGACGCTGCCTAAGAAACTACATGGATAGTGAGTGAAAAATAAAACACTGAAATGCAACCCATCCAAACAGTCGGTACATTTCTGTTTGTTTACAAAGTTGTAGTTAACTATTCAATATTCAGGGCACACAGCGAACCGTTTTGATCGATTTCACCAGGGCTCAGCACGGCCCCGA